TAACTGGAAAAATCATCAGAGAAATGCTCAATAAATATCAAGCTATTCAACTCAAATATCTCAGGGCTGAAACATACCTCTATTCATTCAGCCAACAATGCCTCTTGCTTCTTAGCAGAGATGCAATTGGTTAAGGACACCAAGTGGCTTTAGAGAACAACTTTTTAAATTTTTCTTCTGGGCCAAGGTTAGGCCTACAGCCCGGGCATGTGCCCTGACTGGGAATCAAACCATGACCTCCTGGTTCCTAGGTCGACACTCAACCACTGAACCATGCAGACCAGGCAACAGTTATTACTTTGAGGAGTGGGACTGGGGTCCAAGGGAGGGAAAGGGTATTTCCTTTAGATTTTATATCTTTTAAAATTATTTCAATCTTTTTAAATCGTTTTTATTGATTTCAGAGAGGAAGTGTGAGGGAAAGAAAGATAGAAACATCAGCTGCCTCCTGCACGGGGTTGGGGGTGGGGGTATGAGGGTGGGAGGACTCCCGTGAGCCCGCAACCCGGGCATGTGCCCTGACCAGGAATCTAACTGTGGCCTCCTGGTTTATAAGTCGATGTTCAACCACTGAGCCAAGCCAGCTAGGTAAAAGTATTTCAATTTTTAATGATTTGTATACATTAATTTAAAAATCATTATTACAAACACAATCCAATTGCTGTAAAAATTTCAATACAGCACAAGTTAATAAAAGTCCCTTCTCTCCCACCTCTTAATCCCATCCCTAGAGGACAGTTAACCACGGACATGAGTTTGGGGCCTGGTTACTCAGTGTGGTTTCCAGAACAGCAGCATCAGGATCATCTGAGAAATTGCTAGAAATGCAGATACTCATATCTCACCCCAGATTTGCTCAACCTCCATATCGGGGCCTAGTAATCTGTATTTTAAAAAGCCCCTTGGTAATTTTGATGCATGCTCAAAGTTGAGAATCATTTCATTTTAGCAGGTTAGACTAGATCTTTGGTGGTGGTGTTGGGGGGTGGGGAAGGGGGATTTGAGAAGAATCCTCCTGGGGAAAACTAATAATTCAAAATGACATGTCCCTATGCACCCAGCGAGCTCTTGGTCAAGGGTTGGCAGCCCCTTGAGCTCACTGTGACCTCTACATTGGGGTTAAATGATAACCGTACTGCCACAGTTTGAAGGCATTATCTAGAAAAGGGGAACATGTCAGAAGGAGAACCACGCCGGCATGGCTCAGTGATTGAATGTTGACCTATGAACCAGGAGGTCACAGTTCAATTCCCGGGCAGGGCACATGCCCGAGTTGTGGGCTAGATCCCTAGTGTGGGGCGTGCAGGAGGCAGCTGATCAATGATTCTCTCTCATCATTGATGTTTCTATCTCTCTTTCTCTGTCTCCCCCATCTCTGAAATCAATAAAAACATATTTTATAAAAAGAAAGAGAAAGGTAAGAGGAGTATAGAAGAAACTAAACAAGGATGAGTCAAGAAAGGAAAAATGGCAGAGAGAGAATGAAGATAAAAAAAAAGCCATAAGATGGCAAGTAGATGACAGCAACACCTTAGGGCCACTCATTCATTGAGTTAATTCATATTTATCATTTTAAAATTATAAATCTCTGTATCTTTGCTAATTTCCTTCCTCTGACTCACACATTTCATTGTCTATGAAACTGAGGGGCCTTATGACATTGATTAAATTTAGCTTGAAATCATAGCTCTACAAATCATGTCTCTTTCTGTATATGTATATATACCCCCCCCCCGAGACCTATCCTGCCCCCTGCCCCAAAATCAGTAACCCATGAGGCAGCAAAAGATAGAACTCAGTCCTGACTAATGGTGTCAAGGTCTGGACCTCTGGCAAGCTAAAGATAACATCTTGACCTAAGTTATGTTTCGGCTCCAGTACCTCAGGTGGAATGATCCCCTGGATACTTTCCAAAGAAACCAGACAGAAGGACACAGGAACAGATCTCAGAACTATCCTCAAGACTAGAAGAAATGATTTATTACCTTTACCTCACCTCTGATCAATCAGCACCCAGTACGACCCTAAACCCCTAACATACAAGTGTCTTGTGTTTTTGCCCTTTATTACCTGTAACCTACATGCCATCAGGCAGTTGGGGGTATTGAACATCAGCTTCCCATTCTCCTGGGTGTTGTCATCTATAATAATAAAAGGGTAATATGCAAATCAACTGAACAGCTGAACAGTGGAATGACCATCCCCACGACCTTCCAGATGGATGAACCTGGGGCTGCGAGGGCCGAGGTAGCCAGGTCTGTAAGGGTGGCTGGGGCTACAAGGGCGGCCAGGGCTGTGAAGGCCTGCTCTTGGACAAATTTTGTGCCCTGGACCTCTAGTTTATAATAAAATAACTAATATTTCTCCACTGCAACTTTCAGTGTTTAGCATTTGGCTCTGCTAATGCTGGGTGGACAGACTCTTTCTGTTCCTCTGACCTACACATTTCATTGTCTATCATTTACCAAATGTGAGAAGTTCATTATTTCTTACACAATTCAGTGTCTTCACATTTAGGAAGTGTTTGCTAGTGATCCCTACTCCCTGGCCAAAGAATCATGAGCTCTCAAAGGGTTCCAAAGACTCATAATCTAACTGGGCATGTGTGTGTGTGTGTGTGTGTGTATGTGTGTGTTTGCTGAGGAATTTCACCCACTGGGGAGGTGTGAGGTATGGTAGGAGAGGAAGTGCACATGAAAGGACTCTGGATGCAGCACTATCAACAATCTAGTCAACACATATGAAGCTCAGATTGGAAGGGATCTTCTGGAGCTCCTCAAACATCGACCCTAGTCCCACAGGCTTGACTGTACTGCAGAAGAGCCTGGGGAAAGCTCCTTCAACTGGGCTGGGGTAATGAAAGACAGTGCATAAAAAAGTAAGTAGTTTTCAGCTCTAGCCTTTGTGACTTAGTTGGTTGAGCATCGACTCATGACCAGGAGGTCATGGTTCAATTCCCTGTTAGGGCACATACCTGTGTTGTGGGTTCAATCCCCAGTAGGAGGCAGCTGATCAATGATTCTCACTCATCATTGATGTTTCCCCTCCTCGCTGAAATCAATAAAAACCTATTTTAAAAAAAGTAAGTAGTTTTCACAAGGTTTGAGATGGGGAGGAACATTAAACAACTCTAAGTATAGAAGCTCAGAATGAACAAAGCTTTAAGTATTTTTAGCCTTTTTTCTTTTTTTACAAAATACCCACCACTTACCTATGACTTCCAAAACATTGTTCTGTCCCAGTCAAGAAACCAGCATTTGTTATGGCAGGGGAAAATGTTGCAATGTGGATTTAGTATAAAAGGCTGCTCTATCTTACTGTGTTCCTTTTTTTTTTAGTTTTTAAAAAAATATATTTTATTGATTTTTTACAGAGAGGAAGGGAGAGGGATAGAGCATTAGAAACATCCATGAAAGAGAAACATCAATCAGCTGCCTCCAGCACACTCCCCACTGGGGATGTGCCCACAACCAAGGTACATGCCCTTGACTGGAATCGAACCTGGGACCCTTGAGTTCGCAGGTTGATGCTCTATCCATTGAGCCAAACCGGGAGCGAGTGTTCCATTTTTTAATTTGATGACATCTGCAAGAGGTTAAGGGCAACAATTTATTAAACCAGATCTTTGACTCATTGAGGCACTTTGCTTCCTTATCCTATATACTAAAAGGCTAATATGCAAATTGTCCCCTCGACCAGGAGTTTGACCAGGGGGCAGGGCTGGCCAGCCAACCTCCCACATCTCCCCCCAATCCCCAGCTTGCTCTGCCCAATCACCCTGATCCAGTCCAGCCGCCAGACCCCACCCATGCACTAATTCGTGCACTGGGCCTCTAGTATTTTAAATAAAAGAGCATTTACTCTTATTGATTCCTAGAATTATAAAGTTGGAGCCACTTAGAGATAATCTCTGACACATTAATATTGCCTTAGGGAGTTTTGAGAAAAATACAATGTCCAGGCCCCACTCTATACCAACTGAATTTGAATCTCAAGGGACGGGACCAAGGGGGCACCTCTGGTTTTAAAGCCCCACAAGTGATTCCAACAGGATTGAGAAATAGCTCTTGGTAATAATAATAACAATAATAATAATAATGATATAAACAAAACACACACACACACAAAAATTGGACCTACTATTTCAGAATCTCTGAGGGAATAAAGCGCAGGAATCTGTATGTTATTAAAAATACCCTGATGATTCTTTTGGAAACTTACATTTGAGAAGCAGTACTTTATTTCAACTGGAAATTTTTATAGCTTTTGAATGCTTTCATTTGTTGAATATTTTAGGTTTCATCTGTTCAGCTGTTAAATATACCAAATAGTATGTTTAGTATGAATTCATTAAAGGATATTTACATGTATATATGCATAGGAAAAGCAACTGGAAGGATGATGGATGGATATAGATAAACACTGTATCTGGGTAGTAGGTATATGGATGATCTTCGGTCGTCCCTCCCCCCTTTCTATTTTATTTCTATCTCATTTTCTTTCTTTCTCCATTTAAAGAAGAGTCTTCCTCTTTCTGAGTTGAATTTCCCCTTCTGAAATTGGGTGTTGTAACTTAGTGAACTTCAAGACCACGTCCTGTTCTGGCGGTCAGTGACTTCATACTACCCACTAGCTCACTTGCCCATTTAATAGCATGAACTGCATAGGTAACAACAGTGTTTGAAGAATCATCGTATATAATTCTTATATGTATTACGTTGTGATGCCTAGCAACCGTTTTTACTCCAGCAAAATTATTCTCTTGTTCAAGGAATCGGAACTGAAATAATCTCTACCATCTACACTACCTAAAAGTTCATCCTCTCTCTTATGCCTCAGATAAGGCCGTCCGCGCATATCTCTTAAGAACGTAAGAATGATCGTGAACCAAAAAGCCAGGGCGTGGTCGTCCCGCCCACCCGCCCTACATCACTACCCTTTTCGCTGCTTTGAAGCTCAGAGATTGGCTGAATGCAAGAAAGAGCCCCGCCCCTAGTCTTATGACCGGCGCTGAAGCTCCCAGTGCCGGCTTTTAGCGCTGTGGTCGGTGGGCAGCAACTGTCTTCCTCCGCTTCCCCGAGCCTTTTCCGTGGTGGTGCTGCTCTCGTCGCTGCCTGCTCTTCCGGATCATGGTGTTCTTCCGCCTCTCTCCGGTGCCGGGCTCGGGGCTCGTTGTGCTCTGCCTCATTCTGGGTGAGTTGCCGGGCCCTCCTGCTTAGTACACCCCCCTCCCCCCCACCGCCCCGCCTGGGCCGGGGCGCCCAGTTCAAAGGCCACAACTTGCCGAACTGGTCCCAGGGGTGGGGGTTGAGAGGCTGAACAGCTGACGCTGGGCGGTGGCGCTTGCCTCAGGTGACAAGCAATGACCTAGAGAAGACCCGACGGGAGGGATGGCGGAGGAAGAAGGGCCAGTGAGAGTAAGAAAGGGCAAGTAAGCAGGGTGGGCTGGATGCCAAGAGAGTAGGTAGGAAAAAGCGAGGAGTGAAGCAGATGGGGTAGGAAGACTCATTTGGGGAAACTATGAAGGAATGAGCTTAGGAAGTCGATACGTGCTGATTCTAGGGTGGCAGAGACAATTAGGAAAGCCTTGGCTTCCTAGGATCAGGGAAGAGTTTTGAAGATGGTGGAAAAGTATGGGGCGAGAGAGAAAATTGGGGAACGAAAAGACTGCCTGCGTGAAGAACTTGAGGGAAGTGGGGCAGATATGAGAGTTGACTCTGAGGGACAGTGAGAGGGTTGGGGGCTTTGGTGGAGGGGTGATTAAAGAGATGAGGAATGATTCTGGATTTGACTTTGGTAGTTGGAGTTCTGAGGGGGAAGGGATCTAAGGTGGCTGGGCAATTTCCAGGCAAGAAAACTCAGGCTCAACCTCTGGAGAGTAAAGGAATGAGTGGATACTTCGATAGGGAGTGAATATCTGACTTGGAGGTGTTGAAGATGTCAGTTTTCTACTAGTTTTGCTACTTTTCCCAGCCCCTAAATCCATCCTCAAATGTTTCAGTTGGAAGGGCCTTCCAGATCCAAGGATTTGAGATTGTATCTGAGTCTTGTATGCTTCTTTGCCTTCAGAAGCTCTTTTTCTTCTTCTGTATCATGCAACTGGCCTATTACTTGGTTTTCAGAGGAGGAAAAGGTGGAGGAGGGTAGGTAACTTGCTAAGGACTGGGTTGTTACCATGTCCTCAGAATGGCTGGGTGAATGTTGGCTGATTGTGTCCCCCCCCCCCTCCCCCTCCAAGCAATCAGTTTAATGCCTGAAAGGTGAACTTTGACCAGAATGTCTTTTCCTGACCTGATTCATCCTGTTTGTTGCTACCCACGGACTCTTGCTGTTTGTGACCTAATTAAAAAAGAAACAAAAACTGAAGGAACAGATCAGATGGTAGCAGAGAGGAAATAGAGATACTAGGGTCCTGAGAAGATAGTGAGGAGTACACATCTTATAATTTACACTTCAGTAGAATAAAATGAGCCCCCTAGAACAGTGGATTCTCAATCAGGGGATATTTGGCAATATCTGGAGACATTTTTGGTTGTCACAACTGGGAATTGCTTTTAGCATCTAGTGGTTAGAGGTCAGGTATGCTTCTAAATATTCTACAATGCACAAGACAGCTCCCCCAAAACAAAGAATTATCTACCTCAAAATGTCAGTAGTACCAAAGCTGAGAAATCTTGCTCCTCATCCATAGCTTTGGAAGGATTCTTGATTATCTGATGTACTGATTCTTAAGGATCTTTGCTGGGAGTCTGTCAGATCAAAACTATTTCCAGAAAAATACTAAGATATTATTTGTCCTTTTCACTCTCATCCTCTCACCGGTGTTCAGTGGAGTTTTCCAGAAGCCACATAATGAGTGATGGCATCACCCTGATGACTCTGATATGTTTTATTTACTTCTCAGTTTTAAATTCTATGGCAAATACCTATAGACATAACTCACATAAACAAAAGCTACTTGAGGTGTTCGGTGGATAAGAGAGTAAAGGGGGTCTTGACACTGAAACATTTGTGAATCTTTGATCTAGTCCAGCTGTCCACACAGAGCAGGAAACTCTTCTGTAGGCTTTCTGAAAGCGGGTGGGTGAGGCTTTGCTCAAGCATAGTTTGAAGCTTTCATGCTACTGAGGACTGAGAGACCCTAAGAAAGGATTGTTTACCAGAAAAGCACCTTATCAGTGACTAGAACGCATCGAACCACAGCATCTGTTAACCAGTAAGTCACTGCCAGTTGAATCTGCACAAATACAACACTGTTATTGTTTAGAGAAAGTGAAAAAAATAGTTGTCTTACTTGTTGGTTTTAATTTGTCATTATTTTTTTTTGTTTTTTAATGAAAGCTCTTTTGTTTTGATTTTACAAAAGCAATGCTTGCTCATTGCAGAAAATAAACAGGCAAAAGAAACATAAAAGAACCTATCAGCTCATCTGCTAGTTTGCCATTTATTGATTGGGACTAACTAGATTCACCCTCTGGGAAGATTTCCTAGATTGATTCACTCCACTTGCAAGTTCAAAAGAGGATTTCGAGGAGTAAATGTTAATAATGTACCCAGATCAGATTTTTAAAAGGTACCAGGATGAAATAGAAACCATGTCTTCTATACAGCTGCTTTTTCTGACAGCTGTTGGTTCAGTGTGGCACTAACTCCTTCCATGTGGTTTTGTCTCTTGAAATTTTAGATATCAAAATGGCTACCAAGAATAAGTTTTTGAAAACTCAGTAAATATTTGTAAAGTATCTGTTATGGATCCCATGCTGTTCCTGGGTTCTAGGAGGGTGGTGAAGGATGATCTGTTCTGAATTTATAGCCTCATTAGCATTAGTGTTTTAGCTGTGCCACTTTGTGACTTTATAACTCTATTCCAGCTTCACCAGTAACTTTACTTTTTAAAAACAGCTGCTTTAGAGGAAGTACAGAAAAGAATTTTTCGAGTCTATGTATTGGCCTTTTCCACAGAGTTAAATAGGCTGATATTTATTTGAATTGTAACTGACTAGAGTACTTTCTGGAGAAGAGCTACATGGCAGCATTATAAAGAGAGTACTAAATGAAAATCCTTTCCTAGCATCATTGCCTAACTGTGTTCCCGTCGTGTGACATCAGAGATTTCAGAATTTTGTGGTTTTGATTCTTATAACTAGTGACTTCTGGTTTTTATAGGGTTGAACCTTTTCTGGGAGGGAAAAACCTCATAGAAATACCCTGAGTGTGTGTTTCACTGGTTGGAGCCCCTCCTTCCCACAAATGTTTCTTGAATGCCTATTGTGTACCAGCCCCTATACTAGGTGAAAGGGATAGATAGTGCAAAGGGAAAGACAGATGGGGTCCCGGCTCTTGGGAAGCTTACATTTTAGTAGCGGAAGATAGTCCAACATGTAAATAATAGAATTTCAGATAGTCCTAGGTAGTGTGAAGAAAATGCAGCAGGTAATGTGGAAAAGGAATGAGCAGATGATAGGGGTGGGTAATGGAGTCAGAAGGCCTTTCATTGTGGTTTGACATTGGAGCAGAGACCTGAGTGTTGGAAGGAGGACAGCCAGGTGAGCATCTGGAGGAACAGGAATAAATCTTGACTTTCCCAAATTCTTAGTTTATTACACTAGCCTATTTTCCACTCTTTTTTTTCCCTAACAGTACCAGTGGTGTTCATTTCTGAGAGTGGAGACTATCTTATGTACAGTTATTTCCCTGTGCCTACCTAGCACAGGGCTTGGTACATATTTAACTCTCCGTAAATATTTGTTGAGGGTACTCATTGATGGGCACTGAGGTTATGATGGTGGACTAGACCAACTTGGTCTTCCTATTCCTCTTGAATCTTAAATTATGTTTTGAAAGAAGTTGTTTTTGTGTGTCTTTGAATTGAGAACGTCGAGATTAGTGCTAAGCAGTACAGATAATTATAAACCTATTTACTAAAGTATAATCCCATATAATAATGATAGTATCTTACCTGTACCCCTTCAGATATACCTACATAGTAGTGAAGGTAACATGAAGAACAAGGAAGTCTGGTGAGAAGGAGAATATGGTTTTAACAAAGAACCAACCTCTCTCCTTTTGTGGGTGATCTTAAAGAGAACGTAAGCATTGAGATTTTTCTGTAGCCTAACCACATTTGGTTAAACTGGTAACTTTGATTTCAAGGTTCTGCTAAAAATTATTCTAGCTATATTAGTGTGACTTGAAAGGACAGGCTATCATTGGTTATCACATCTGATAGGATTGTAGATATTCAAATATTTACTATGAGCGCAGCTTTTTTCCTCTGTATCCCTGGGTGGAATTTGTGGTCAAGGTTTGTTTTACAGTACTGTGTCTGACTTAAGTGATCCATTGGTGCAGGAAGGCTAATTTTCCTCATGTAGTAACAAAAGCATTCTCGTCATAACTTTGTATTATAGTGATCAGAGATCTCCTATCCAAAAGTATACGTTATGAGTACTTGTTGGTATCCTGCTATGTGTTGCAAGAGAGTTCTGGAGGTCTGCCAAATACCACTCAGCAATAAGCACTTTACATTAGTTGGATAATGTTGAATCTTATTTCCTTATCCACTCTGGGACCTTAAAAACATTAAATTATTTTGTAGCTTGCAATCATATTAGTACTTTTATTTTTAAGAGATTTACCGGAGCCCTAACTGGTTTGGCTCAGCGGATAGACCGTTGGCCTGTGGACTCGAGGGTTCCAGGTTTGATTCCGGTCAAGGGCATGTACCTTGGTTGCAGGCACATCCGCCGTTAGGGGGTGTGTAGGAGGCAGTTGATCGATGTTTCTCTCTCATCAATGTTTCTGACTCTCTATTCCTCTCCCTTCCTCTCTGTAAAAAATCAATAAAATATATTTAAAAAAAGAGAGATTTACCAGAAATCAGCTACTGAATGTGATGATTGTACCTATATTAGGAATTATAAGTGAGGAACTGTAAATGAGGAACAGTTAATCTGACTTTAACCTATGAATAGAAAAGAAAGAGTAAATAGGTAGTACTGTATATGCCTATGTACTGTTCTTTTGTTAAGACTCTGTGCTTGCCCTAACCGGTTTGGCTCAGTGGATAGAGCGTCGGCCTGCGGACTGAAGGGTCCCAGGTTCGATTCCGGTCAAGGGCACGTACCTGGGTTGTGGGCACATCCCCAGTAGGAGGTGTGCAGGACGCCGCTGATTGATGTTTCTCTCTCATC